TCCGGTTTCGAGCAACAGCAGCGGCTTCTCTGATGCTGTCTGCTGGTTATCAGCTGCGAGTTGCTAACTACACACTGATTGCTGATAAACGACGATTGACGCAGATCGATGGTGCTGACCCGGAACTTTGCATACCGGCGAGCTATCGATGAGTGACTACCAGCTCTGAACCGAGACAAAGGGAATTCCGGAGTGCAAATCGTCTGGAGGAGGGGGCACTGAACGGCACTCGGTTAACCCTTTTCAGGCTACCTCGTGAAGACCTGTGAAGTCCTATCACTAAAAAGGCTCATTCGTACCATTTTGCAGCTTCAGAGGAGTTTACAGGTCAACCCCATTTGAAATAAGTCATTCAGAGTGAACTAACAAAGGTACAACAAGAGCAAAATGCCTTCTCTAGGCCAAGCAATGCCGGATTTCCAGCGCAGCGCCAGGATTATCAATTCTCGTTAGGTACATGCATCCTTCTTCCATTCGAAACCACTGACAGTTAGACGCATAAAACACCGCTGAGCCTACGACGCCAGAAGAGGGTCTTGGACCTACAGAACCGAAAAAATTTGGAACAAATTAAAAAAATCATTTCTATCAACATTTAAGTTAATCGTTGAACTAATAAACCTGCGGTAAGTAATCTGTCAGTGTTTTTGGAATACTTGTGAAAAGGGCAAATTCTGGGTACACTTTTTCACCTTCGAAGGCTCCTGTAATGTCCGTAGGCTGCAAACTCACGCACTAACCGGATAGGTCTCTTTACTCCCTGTGAGATTTCTCCAAACGGGGATGCCTTCTATAACGAACCGTATCATCTTGCCAATCTTCCCCAAACATTTGTCTTAAGGTGGCTGAGGAAGGGGGGGGGGTGGAGTGGTCACCTCCTACCAACTATCAGAAACAGTAGTTCTGAGGGACTGCCGTCCAAGGATAAAGGGTAAGGGTATAGCACGCTTGAAGCAAAAAAAATCAGCATTATTGTAGGCCAAATATAAACCTCTTCCCTGATGGGGATCCCCAATGTACGACCTGACCACTGTTGTGACAATTGTGACAACTAGGAGCGATAAGGAAAAATGATTGGTTATGATATGGTAGCTGATGGGCTATTAATACGCTGCATTTTGATTACTGTACATATCGAATACTGCACGTTCCAAATACTGTACATTTTGAATATTGTACACTTGGTAAAGCTGCTATTTACGCGTTTTGCAGCTACTAATCGTGCGCTAAAGGTTTGAGAAAAAAAAACGCTAATTTTGAGAGGCTTTTGTTGTTGTGCACTGTCACTCCCCTTTCTCTTCCATAATATGCCTGAAAACTAGCGACGAACTCTCGGTCTCCGCGTCGCAGCCGCCCGCGTCTTAGGTTGACAGTTTGCGCAGTTGGGCAAAAATCGTCTACTCAAGTGAACGGGACGTGCAATAATAGCTCTAGCTGCATCATGGGGGTTTCAAAAACATTTTGAGAAATTCACCAGTTAGCGCAAAGCTCGAAAATCGATCGGTAAAACAAGGAGATATTGTTAGACTAAATGGGTCTTTACATTAATTCGGTTAGCAACAAAAATATACAAAAGCCGGGATCGTTAAAAAGGGCGCAGTTTGGCTTGGTGGGGACATTTTGCCACTTCATATCGACTACTGCCGATATCCCTATACTTTTCGGAACGGCTGTTCCATGGTGGATTGGCGGAAGGAGGAATGAGTTTATTGTTCTCATGTTTTTATGGGAACATTACAAAAACAGTAAAGGACTTGTCAGTACCAGGTCCAAAGCCCCCTTTCCAGCCCCTGCTCCAAATACATTACATAACGACAGAGCGGCTAAAAATTATTGAATGAGCAGCCAGGGAATAATTGCTCTTGCCCAGAAGGAATTTTGATGCATCAGTGAGATGACGTCCAAACTTCGTAAAATTAACGATTCTGTCGCGCGACATGAGAGTCGCGCTTCAGCGCTAATCGTTGGACTGCTGCTACGAAACTTCCGTTCTCAATGCGCTGGAATCAAGGCATCCTGGAGCTCAACGTGAGTACGGTCCATTGTAGTTGCGGGGTTTGATTATCGCGACGGAATCGCTCAAGTCGCAAAGTATGAACGCGACCTTACACTGACGCCTTTTATAGGGTCTGAAGTTTAGCCCATGACCGACTTACTTCTTCGGGAGGGAGCAGAGATCGGCGTGTGGTTGACGAACACTCTTCGTACTTTTACTGTAATCTACGCTATTAACGACGCCATTAATGGTGTGCACTAAAATAATGGTGGTAAAACTGCACTTTGGGAGAAAAAATTCGTGCGTGTGGGTAGCACGAAAATATTTGCACAATCTGGGAAACCCCTAAAAGGCGCCAAGTTGGCGCTTCGTCAGAAAGATGTCGCACGCGGTGATCACTTTGCAGTGCGTTCGTAAATATGTTTTTATGATTGCTAATGATTTGTTTTCATAACTGACAGTCAGAGCGCGTCACATCTATCTGTTCATGTGTCGTCGCCCAGCTCGGTGTACGGTAACTGAAGAATGTGGCGACGACCACCTTCAACACAACCATCATCGCTCAGTTCCGCTCTCGGTATTGATTTGGAGATTGGTAACAAGGGAATTATCATGGGAATCAGGCACTGTGTCATCATCCATTTGTGAAGGTGGAATCAAAAAAAAGGGGAGGGGGTTGGGTGGCTTTGAGGGGAGTATTGGAGGAATGGTGTTATTATCCTACAGCTGGGAGAAAAAAATGAAAGGACTGATAGATGGTTCTGATAGAAGAAAGTTTGTAAGATAGATTCAGAGAGAAGAGCCATTTTAAGAACATAAAAGAAAGAAGTCGAATAAAGTAGAGTATAAATGAAAGAAGTCGCGCACCGGCACGTCCCGCCGTTGGGGAAATTTTGCAGTATACCCCCTCCGAAAAAGTTCTCCTCTGTTACGGACCCTCTTCCCCATCTCTCATCCTGTCTACCATCTTTCCAAGTTCTCCCAACTTCCTACCACTTTTCCCGTTTTTCCAAAAAACCTTTTAGTCGAACGGGGGAGGCATACGCAAGCGCACTTGAAACAGGAAAAAAACCCAGAAAAATCAACAATTAAAAAACACTCCTTTCCCAGCAGCAAATACAATCCCTTTCGTGCTATGTAGGAATCCGCAGCGGACCTGCCCTGATGTCACTAGAGCTCCAAAAATGTTTGCGCTTAGTAGTTCAGCGGATGGGAGATTGCTAAAAAGCAGAGAGAAGCGAGTCCAAGTCCTGCTAAGGGTAAACTAAATCCTGGTGGGTACTTTCGCTCTTGGGAACCGCAGTGTTACAGAAACCAGTAAGGTTATTTCTACAGTATTTGTTAAAAATTCAAAGGCTATAATTTTCTAAGGAAATAAGCAGTGAATATCGTTCTAATGTTGTAACACAATAGAAAAAAATGTGAGATGAGAATGGCTGACCCCGAGGTGCTGGCAAAGCGCCAAAAATCTCGGAAGCTGACAGGCTAAGAGTTTTGATTATGAAAACGTCATATCGTCATTACAGATGCATCCTGTTTCAAGCAAAAGCTGCAAGCAAATCAATACGCATCTTTTCAACGTGGCATTTCATGAGAATGCAGCTAGCTAAGCAGCAGTGCGGCTCAGGTATGTTTAACTAGCGGAATTCCTACTGATTTTGTTACTAGTTGTCGTTTTATTACTAGCTGTCTGAAGAACAAAATGCGTTAATGTCAGGCAAACCGCTGGAATCAATAACTATCTTTCTCAAAGGCAACACAGTTTGGCGTGGTGGGGGCACTGAATGATACACAGCTGGTTTTTACAGGACAACTTGTGAAGACCTGTGGATTCCTATTACGAATGGCTCACTCCTGTCATTTTGCAGCTTCACAGGAGTTTATAAGCCTATACAAAATGGGACCTGTTACTCAACATGAACTGACAAAATTTAATTAACAAAAATGCAAAATGCTCCCTCCAAGCCGAACAGCGCCTTAAAGGCTTCTCATAGCTCCCAGTCTCATATGCGATGGTAAAATGATCATCAAGAGAAAAGAAATTTAAAGAGATGAAGAAAGGAAGTAGAAATTGAAGAGTTGTTGAGCAAAAATCAGACAAAGGCTCTGAAGGAGTGAAGCGAAGATAGAAGCCAGAACAGATGGTTTCAAGGTATACACCATTCAGTTGAAGGGCGATGAAAAAGGTAACTTTGAGGAAACATGAAGAAGAAATAATGAGTGAATTTTCAAAGAATAACCGTAAATATGTAGGCAATGAATCTATCACAATGCGCCTAAAAAGCCAAAATCCATCGCGAAATTCAGAATGAATTCGATCGCGGGGTTTTGTTGAAATTAGCCACATCTTGAGGAATATCGGGGCAAGTAATTTTGCCGGGCTTTCAAACCTCACCTCGGGCAATGAAAAAAAATGCTTCGGGGTGGTTGAACCACTTCAACCAAGTGTTCACTGTTTTGCCTAAGGAGTTCTAGCTCTCCCCCCTTCCCCCCTATAAAGTGATTAGCGCCGCTATCAGTAGTTCAGCTCACGTTCGACGGCTAAATATGTCCCATTTTTCTTAAATTTGCTGGATGGCGAGAATTCGTGGTCATTGCTCATTTTTACATGATTTAAAAACTGCCCTCCCCCTTCTAAGACGAGAGGTCTAGTTTAAGATGCTACCGCGGTCAGTTTTATGAAGAGGGCTCCATAGTTTTTCTCATGAATCAATCAATACCGATACTTTCTGGGTTTCACTCTATCTATAGGAAAATTGCGGTCTATTTGCTGGATGTGAACGTGTTTCTGGGAACTCGGTCGGCCTTCTTCAGCTGTTTACGTGCTCTTGGTGGGTGCGTGACAGTTTGGAACTTTATGGCTCATAAATTGGTAAATAAGTGACAAATAGAGAAAGAAAACGATCATTGACGAACAAATAATCACAGAGTTAAGCGCATTAGTCCTTTGAAGGACTAAATGTTCGTTGTGAAGGAAAAGTACAAAAATTCCTCAAAAACTCGCTCACCTGCTGGTTTTCCGATTTCGTTGATTCGGTAAATTCAAATCAGGCAAGCTGTTGGCGAGTGGACTTCGTGAATAACTGGCGTCAATGTACGGATACGGTATCTCGGGACTAGATGGTGGTGATTCTTCCTTAATGGGAAGTGGTGGTGGCTGTGGGTGTTGTACCTGTGCCGGAGCCACCGTTGGCTGTGGTGGAGCAGAATAATAGCTGGGAATAACAGTGGATGTAGTCGGTTGTACTGAACAAGCACTTCCAATGCTGGTAGCAGCAGCAGCGGCCGCTAAGGCACACGTGGAGGCAAACGCCGGAAGGACGATTTGGCGCTGCTGCTGGGGCGAATGTGGCGCCAGGTAGCGCCGGTGGTGGCATGGCCAACGTGATCGGTGGCTCACGAACGAGCTGATCGTGAACTCGCGGCGCTCGAGTGAGCATACCGACCGTTGGTGTTTCAAGTGGCGAGAATGCCAATCGGCTGACCTCGCCAATCCGAAAATTTTCTTGATCCAGGAATTCGCTGATGTCGTCCCAGACCTGAAATGAGGTTAGAGATTAGGCTAGGTCTCTCAAAAAGAAGAAAAGGAGAAAATGAAGGGAGATAGAGTAAGGTGAAGGAGAGAAAAGCAGAAACTCGTCCAAACGGACCTCATTAAGATCGTGGCAGATGACCTGCGTCATAGTCGGTGCTGCAGGAGCCTTTTCAGACGAATATCTTGCTTGTGTATGTTTTGCTGATAGCGTACGTGAGTTGCGACGGCGAAGTGGAGTCGTCGGTCGGTACGGGTTGGAGAGCAAGTTGCGCTCGCGCTGCCTCCTCTAAGCCCCGCCTCTCGTTCAGCAGCTGACCAATCGAAGACCGAGCTCCGCCCACTTGACAACGACAACGACCCTGAGAAGAAGAAAAGCCGACGGTGAATCAGTGAGTAATCACGGTGCTAAATCGAGTATTAATGCACGAGAAACGTTCGAGAAATCACTGGAATCCCGAATAATGATGTGCAAAAAAGTTGATGGGGTGATAAGAATGACCTTTATTTTTGTCCCTATAAAAAACAGTGATTACTTGTAATCACCAATGAGAGCGCGAGCGATCAGAATTTCAAAGAGATGTCAGCTACGACCCTTCAGGAGGAGAACTTTGTCCTTCCAAGGGTAGAACACTGAAAAGAGGCCGGGAAAAAACGATGTAGATTTCAGAGACAAAGGAAAGAAGCGATAAAAAGGCCAAAAAAGGTCTGGAAAAAGTGTTTCGCAGGGAAGAAAAACGTGTTAATGCCGAAAAAAGGCAGAGAAGTGCCGTACACTACAGAAAAACTCGTAGTTTTTGGTTTTATTTTCGTGGGATTCTGATCGATGAAATTGGTACCCCGTATGCGCCATGTATTCGACAATCACTGTATGTACTGGACGCGATTGAGTGTCAGTTTGATTTATACCCCAAATTCTGGGACCCAGGACGCTTCGTGATGATGAAAAATCTATCGCTCATCAAAACCACCGAAGCGGTGCTTCACCAAGGATCCCCTCCTCACCCTCGCCCTATATGCTGCACACCGCTATTACCTATGTATACTACGTAATCATTGTTTTTGTAAGTTGATTTTCGAAGTTGCTTGCTGAACCCTCCCCCTACCTCTCCCTTTCTCTTCTCTCGATGGCATTTTTTTTCTGCGAGAAGCGAGAAGAATTCCTGAAGAAAACTGGAAGAATTCCCGGGAAGGTTGGAAGGTTGGAAAAGTAGATAGAATAAAATACTTAGGAAGATCGCAGGTTGTATGGGGGAGGGTATCGTAACAGAGAAGGGGATTTGAGGAGGGTCATACTGACACTGGCATTTCACACATTTCATGCTGTGACCTGCATCAAACATCAAGTCCTTAGAATAGCTGCGTAGTTATTTACTCAGTTTTTTGCATGTTTATTATTTATCCGCCTTCTCAGTCCCTCTTTTTCTCGTACACCGGAAAACACCCCATCCTCTGTTGAGCCCGACTAGCAGGGTTTCCTCCATCCAGCGGAGGGAGCGGAGAGGTTCGAGGCTCGCATAGTTTTGTGCCTCATTTCTTGGGAAACTTTAGGGCGGCTTTTGATATGGGAGAATGATATCTGGAATTTTCAAGCATAAGAGATATGGCTGCTAATACTATTATACTGGCCGACCTATCCTTTGGTGGGCGTTCTAGCTGCAGATTGAGGATGTGGTCTTGTTTCACCCCTGACATGAGCTTGAACTGATCCCGCATTCCTCAGTCACAATTACTTCGCTTTAGAATTGCTGCAAGAAGTCACATTTTGAACTCTTTGGTTGTAAGGACAGGGACGTCATGCCGCTGGGCAAAAATGCAAAGTACGACCTCTTCCCCT